CCCCCTGGCGGGCCGCAGCTCCCCAGAGCCGGGGCTGGCTGCAGCTGGGAGGTTGCAAACAGCTGCTGCCTCCCCACCCCAGCCCCGGCCCCAACGTGCACTGAGGAAAACGGCCTTGTATGCCATGCTCAGCACGTGTGCCAGGGGTTGCCAACCCCTGCCTTAGCATAACCTACCACAGTGCAGCCATCTGAAGAACTATCACTGTCATCATTTGGCTCAGTGTTAGCTCATAACCAGAGATCCTGGTTATCTCTGATAAAAAAAAAATTGGAAACTCTCTGATTAAAAACCCACAAAATCCATGTTTTTCTGCAATTAAAAAGAAATGCCACTATGTATATAGCTATCAGTTGAACATAATGTTTTACTGATATATTTACAATTTTAAAGCAGCATGGAAGCCTACCAGTGCCTCAATCATTATAATAAAATCAATTCTAAATACCTATAAATTTTGGTGTTAGATTTTGGGCTTTTCAATCATGGAAAATGAGCTCCCCCTGCCCCCTTCGCTCATCAGGATATGGGCACAGCTGCAGCTGTCTCCTGCTTTTGCTTTGTAGTGCTGGGCAGCCCTGATATGCTGGTGCCCTGCCACTGCCCCTCACTCCCAAACCACAGCCCCACAGCCCTGCCGGTGCCTCTCACCCCAAGCCCACAGTTCCCCCAGCCTTGCTGATGCCCCTCACTCCTGATACACAGCCCCCCTGGCCCTGCCAGTGCCTTTCACTCCAAATCTACAGCCCCCCCAGCCCTGCTGGCACCCCTTATTCCCAACCTACCGCCCCCCCCAGCCCTGCTGGTGCCCCTCACACCGAACCTGCTATCCCTGTCCCTCAGGCCCCCAGTGTATGAGAAAGGGAGTGGGTATGTGGGGAAGATGGGGGGGCACAGGCAACATGGCAGGGGGGGCACATGCCCCCCAAGATTTCTATGCCCACAGCAGGGTGCGAGGATGCAGCAGGGCCAGACCAGCTCCTGGCAGGAGCCACCTCTGCAGCCCAGCGGGAGGCACCTGGCACTGGAGGAAATGCTGTGCCGCCATGGTGAGATGTGACAGTGGCAGCAGTGTGGAGTTGTGCCCTTGCTGCTGCCAAGTGGGCAGGAGGCGCCTCACCTTGGCAGCTATGGTGGCATGCCACTCCCTCCAGTGCTGGGTCCCCTCACTGCACTGCAGAGGCGGCTCTTGCCTGGAGCTGGTCTGGCTCCGCTGCAGCCCATGCTAGGTGGCCTGCTGTGGGTGCAGAAATCTCGGGAGGGCACAAGCCCTCCCTGCCACTTGTGCTCCCCCGTTCACCCAATGCATGATCTGTTCCCCCTCCCCCCATCTAACACGTGGCCTGTGCCCCCTCCCTCCTGTATGGCCTGTGCCCTTTTCCCTGCCACCGCCCAACGTGTGGTCTGGGCCCCTTACCGCCCCCCACCCCCCCGACTTACTTTGAGGAAGCCACTGGAACTGCTCTCCATCGCTGCCAGGCTGCCACGTGCATGCGCATATACACATGGAGCTCCCTGCCTGATCACCCTCCTCCCACTCCCTGCAGCCCCAAGCAGCCCCTTACAGGCTTCCCACATTTTTCTCCTTTTCCATGAGTGTCTCCCTGGAGGACTGAGCCTCCATGTCTGCTGACACATGCTCCTGTGGCGTGAGCCACACTGGTTTTTCGTGGAGCTTTTTTTTTTTTTTTTTGCTACTGGGGCATGTTTTAACATGCCAGGCATGAGGTTTGGGATGCCGCAAATAGGTTTGTTGTGCCACAAACTGAACATCTGGATTGGGCCAAGAAATTCAATTTCAGGTACAAACTCCTGCACAAACTCCTGCACTTGGGACAGAACAATCCCATGCATCAGTACAGGCTGGGGGCTGACTGGCTGGGCAGCAAGGATGAAAAGGACCTGTGCTTAAGTTCTTTGCTGGGAATGTTCCCCTAGATCAGGGGTGGGCAAAATGCGGCCTGGGGGCCGGATGCGACCCGCCAGACCATTCTATCCGGCCTGCGGGTCCCCTAAAAAATTAAGAAAATTTATATTAATCTGTCCTGGGTTGCCTGTCATGTGGCCCTCGATGGCTTGCCAAAACTCAATAAGCGGCCCTCTGCCCAAAATAATTGCTCGTCCCTGCCCTAGATGCCTTCTACCTCCTCAGCAGTGACATACTCTTGACAAGGCTAAGAGTCCCAACACCGATACTTAAATCCAATGAGGATCCACAAATTAGGCTCTGATCCAGGAAACATGTTCAGAGCACATCTAACACATTGACAACATTAAATCAGGTATATTTTTAAAAATGCAGCTACCATAGGAGGAAGCGGAAAAAGAGGTGGCAATGGGGCCACCACCTGGGATGTGCGAGATCTGTGACCAAAGCTCTTATCGGCCTAAGCAGAATCAAATCCATGCCTCCCACTTCTCAATGTGTAAGCCAACTAAAAAGCAGAGGGGAAGCCAAGACTCCCAGAGCAGCAACCTAATTACTTGGTAGAGAGCATGCTGGCTCTCGCTCCCTCTCTGTTCTCCTGAATCTTATTCTTCGTTATAGTTTCAATGAGAAGATTCCCCTCCCCTCCCCACTCCCCCAGCTAGAAAATGGCAGAGAAAATATTTTCCAGGCAAATTCTCTTGCAACTACATGAAAAACAACTGTGACCACTTCCAGGTCTTAAAAGATCATGCGTCTTCCACTCTAAAGGGATGATGGAAGCCTAGTCTACACTACAAAACTTTACAGGCATAATTTAGTGTGTCCACACCCAAACCTCCTCTGCAGCCACAGAACTGGCAGAATTAGCCCACCTCTGCTGGGCACAAATAGGCTTCTGTTGCCATCAGGTACATGTGAACACCTTCTGACAGCTGCTGCTGTGCCTCTAGCAACTGGTGCCTTCCCAGGGCACACTTTAAGCTCTAGCAGCAGAGCTGCTGCATGGAGCCATGCAAGCCACCAGAAGCTCAGGGCTGCATGCATGCTCAGGCAGATTAGCAATGGCAGCAGCTGCCAGTACTTTTGACAGCAGAAGCAGCCTACTGTAAACAAGGCCTTCAATACTTAAATCCAAGAGAAGATCTAGGGCTGCGTGTCCTCATCTTACACAGACACGGGATTCCAGTCCTCTCTCTCTTCGCTGTTTCCAACTGCTTAACTCAAACTTCTCCCGGATCAAGAGGCTGGGATTGAATTCCAGCTGTTTTAAATCCTACCCCTGAGCACAAATCACTTACCCCTGGCCTGGTTACATCAGCTGAAAGGTAATGATGCAAAGTGATGAAGTGGAGCCTGGCACAGGATGACATGAAAGTCATTCATGTTAAGGGCAATGCAATACTGTTGTTGATAGAAGCCTAGCTGGGCAGCTCTGTGCCTGGAGCAGCTGTATGATCCTTGGGCCAGCCCCAGCTGTCTCAGTGCCAATCATACAAGTGTGATCAGCCCCTGCTGCAGTCATGGGTATTTTTGCAGCCCCTGACAAAGGCAGCACTTGGGCTGCTGCTGTGGTTGCACCACCCTTGGTTACACTTCTGGTTGCTGATGCTTGTAATAATGTCATGAGCTTCAGTTTCCCTGATTTGGTCATGCAGGGGGGATGAAAGATTAGTTAAGGTCCTGCTAAGTCCCGGAACCACCTATGCGTAGAAAAGACAAGATGGATCTTCACCATCAACAGACATTTGAATAGCTTTGTTGATGTTTTAACAAAGGTGACACCCAGCAGGGCCTTGGGTGAGAAAAATAAACAGGATGATGGGTGATGTAGCAAAGAACAGTGTGAGAGGAGGGAGCATCAGCAAAGAGAGTGAATGGGAGAGTCATTTTGGGACTTGGGGCTGTGCAGACTGGAGAGAGAACAGGTGAGATAACTGGGGGAGGGGGAGGGCTGTGGCTGCGGGACAGAGGGACTGCTTAACTCTTTGAAGGGGTCAGGGAACCTCTGGCTGGGTGCCTTTTTGTCCCATAAATGGCTTTGTGGAAGAGTATCTCTTTGTTCTGCTTCTTGGGACTTCAGGGCACTCAGAGATCAGGCACGGCCAGGACCAAGTACTCTCCTGGGGGGTCCCCGTGCCTGGCTAACTTCTGACAATTGCACAACAGAAGGCCTAGGGCAGGGACAAGCCATCACTTGCAGCCGTTCCAAATAGCGTGGGCAGGGGAGTGGACATCAAGGGGTAGCTGTAACTGCGCAGGAGCACACACCGGCTGTTATGCTCTAACTCAGGAACAGGCAAAGTCTGGTCCGCGTGCCAGATCAGGCCAGCAGTGGACTCAATTTCCCAGCAGCCCATGTGACTGGCACTGGTTTCCACGGAGACCCAAGCAGCAGCCCAGTGGCCCAGCCTCTTCCTGGTGGTGGGGCTGAGAGGGGGCTGTGCTGCGGGTGGGAGTGGGGTGGACTCAGCTGCTCCTCCCTGTGTGGGGTGGGCAGCACTGGTGCTGCTGGGAGGGGTGGATATGGGGGCTATGGGGAATTTTGGGGTGGCTATAGGTCCTCCAAGCCTCTCTCTAGCGCTTGCCGTTAGCAGGGTGCATGGCAAGGCGTGGAGCTGCTCCAGAGCCCGGTGGGATCTTGCGGCGATGACACCGTGATCCAGAGCCAGGGCAGAACCACAGTTTACAGCCTGCATGCCCCTGCCCAGAGCATGCACAATGCAGATCCCTGGCTCTGGAAGAGGTGCCTGGAAGCCGGAAGAGTCCTGCTGTTGTGAATCTGGACTGCAAATTGAGATGAGAATGGGATGGACTTCAATGCAGACAAGTGCAAGATGCTGCATCTAGGGAGAAGGAACCAGCAACACACCTGTAGGCTGGGGAACACCCTTCTTGTCAACACAGTGGCAGAAAGGGATCCTGGAGTCATTGTTGACTCCAGGATGAACATTAGCCGCCAATGCGAGGAAGAGGTCAGTAAGGCTAACCGCACCTTGTCGTGTATCTACAGATGCATCATAAGCAGGTCCAGGGAGGTGACCCTTCCCCTCTATGCGACACTGGTCAGGCCACAGTTGGAGTACTGTGTCCAGTTCTGGGCGCCACACTTCAAGAGGGATGTGGCTACCATTGAGAAGGTCCAGAGGAGGGCCACTTGCATGATTAAGGGGCAGCGGGTCAGGCCCTATGAAGAGAGGCTAAAGGGCCTGAATCTATTCAGTCTCCACAAGAGAATGCTGAGAGGGGATCTGGTAGCCGTTTACAAACTCACCAGGGGGGACCAGCTCTGGGTGAGGCTCTGTTCCCTCTAGCACCAGGTGGGCTTACTAGGAATAACAGCCACAAATTGTTAGAGAGAAGGTTCAGGCTGGACATCAGGAGACATTACTTTACAGTCAGAGCTGCCAGGCTCTGGAATAGGCTCCCAAGTGAGGTGGTGTTCTCTCCTACCTCTCCTTCAAGAGGAGGTTGGATAGATATTTGGCTGGGGTGTTATGACCCCAGCACTCATTCCTGCCCGGGGCTGGGGGCTGGACCTGATAATCTGTTTAGGTCCCTTCCGACCCTAAGTACTATGATACTATGAGACTATGAAATTCCAGAGACCTGAGGGGCAGGAGGAGGAGGAAGTGAATATACAGCCCATGCCAGCTACATGCCAGAAAGCTATGTTGTAGCACTCCCCCACTTCTGGCCTGAGCCACTGCAGGGATGTGTCTGCATTTCCTAAATCAAAAGTAAATGTGTGTCCAGTTGTTTCTCAGTTTAATTTCTGCAGCTCAGACTAACCTGAAAAGACTGAAGCAATTGAGCCTTGGGCTTTTTGACTGTCTGTGCTTAGCCTCAGTGAAACACATACTGCAACTTTAATCCAGCCAGAACTCAAGTGAGTTATTTTCACCTTTAAAACAAAGAGGCATAAAGTGCACACAAGGTGTGCCAGCCTGCAGACTACAATCCCTGAAATTAAGCAGACATGGGAGCCCCTGGGAATGGATCTGAATCTCTACCAACTTTTGAGGGTGTTAAGTGAACACTCACTAGCTTTAAGAAGTCCTGATCCTTTCTTCTCTTTGCAATCCTACCAGAGCCCCAGGAGCACCCTCCAAAGAGTCCTAGTATTACTAATTGTTACTTTTTACATTTTACTTAGGATGGGGTGGCCACCCTGCAGCACATGTGCCACAAGGGGCACAGGCAACTACTGTGTGCACCACACTAGCCCTGGGCACTCAGTTAAGAGAAGGGATGGAATTGAGCTAGAAGCAGAGTGCTCTTCAGAGGGAGCAGGGCAGGTATCAGGTGTCACTGCCAGGAGCCAGGTTAACTCTTCCCTGGCTGTGCAGCCACCATTGAATTCAGGGCTTTGGATCCTTGTTGGTCCTATAAATGGTTGTGGGACCAGGGAAGAGTTAACATGGGTCTCCGAGGTGATATCTGTTGCAGCAATACCCTCCCCTGCTTCACTCCACTTCATTCTGTCCTCCCCCTGCCTCCACTCTGGCATCTCAGGTGGAAACTGTATCAGATACACCTCTGGAGGTGGAATCAGAGCATCACGCAGGGAAGGGGACGGGGAGTGAGGCTTACCTTATGGCATCCCTGCCAGGAAGGTTGGCCACTAACCACTAGCCTAAGGATTATTTCCAAAGATTCTTCCTTTATCTCTCCCTAATGTAAATTAAGAAACTCCCTTTTTTGTGTCCATAGTCCAAATCTGTGGCCTGCATTGGACTGTCCAGATCTGTGGAATGAACTTTGGAGTGAAGGCTAATGTGTACAGACTGGTATTATCCTTCTTCTCACATCCACAAAAGTGTGTGAACACTTGGGCTAGGTACATTCAAAAAGCCTAAGGCGGAACTGATCTAAGTTGTGCAGTTTTCGGTAAGGCGCGCAGTTTAGATTGGTAGTGAACAGAACACACGTTTGCCCTTTGGTAGTAGGGGGAAATCTTAGACCAGGTTCTGCCAATCTTACCATTTCTAAACTTCTTGGAACAACAGACCAATGCCTACTCTCGACAGTTCTTGAGAACAACCCTGCACCCTTATTTTTAAACCAGTCGATGTGTGCTGAACTTCTGTTCTGTTATGGGTTTAGACTGGTTTTGTGTGCTGAATGTCTGTTCTGTTATGATATAGATTGGTCTCCAATCACTTACACTGACTGGTAAATGTAAAATGTCTGTATCTGGCTCTGGAGCTGGATTTGTGATTAATATTTGTAATACAGTAGTGGACCTAGCTGGGCTAGTGCTGTATATACACTTAGCATATGATATGCATCAAGGAACTTGGTATGGATTGTCAAGATCAACAAAAAAAGGGAAAGCAAACAGAACCTATCAGGTCAGCAGCAGAGCCAGGAATAAAGATGTCAATTGTCAAGCTCCTATGGACTTCAACAGTGCCAGGATATGACTCTTGGTCTCCTTAGTCCCAGCCTGGTCACAGCCTACTAGTTCATGACTCCCATAAACGTTTACTTAAATTGGGATTTTCAAAAAATGCTTAGCCTCAGTCTGACTTGGTTCCCATTGAGGCATGTCAATGGTTTACCAGAGTTAAGCCATCTCTGAGCCCTTTTGACAATGCAGCACTCTTCCTTTCTTCCTCCCTGTCTCCTGCTTCTTAAGCCTTGGAGCAAATGCTCCTTACTTCTGCAACCTTCTCATGAATATCACAGAGGTGAGTAGAGCCCCAAGCAAAAAAAATTATACATCTTGAACATATGGTCTGAATACACATCACCCGCTTTCCAAAGTTAATGAGAAAGTTGGGGAATTGCATCTTGGAAAGAAAGAAAAACCACCATGAAAAGCCACTCAAACACAGGAAAATGTATGTTTTCCTGATGTGGCTCTTTAAGAAACACCATCTGAAGTAGGCTGCTTGCTTGCAGGGTACTGCATTAGCTGTAAGGTCATGTATCCGGTGCTGGCATCTCCTCCAACACAAGAATTTTTAAACAAAATAAGCGTTGGTCTGCTAGCATTCAGCAGTGGCTCACCCTCAGTCCTGCCTGTTAACAAACAGCAGAGGGGTCTAGAAGGCAACAGCAGCTGGAATAGCTCAAACTCAGGCACATTTTTGAGCAACTCTCTTGAACTGCTGAGTGCGTCTGCATTAAAAAAGATTGTGAATAGACACTTGAGAAGAGGAAAAGAATTTGGAAACTCTCTAACCCATGAACAATCTTTCTGACACAATATCCAGAAATCTTGAGCC